GGGAAGGGAAGGGAAAGGAAGGGAGGCAGGCAGGCAGGCAGGCAGGCAGGCAGGCGTGGCACACACATGTCTTTGATCCACTTAGAAGGTAGAGGCAGGTGAATCTCTGTGAGTTTGAGCCCAGCCTGGTCTACACAGCTAGTTCTAGGACAGTCAAGGCTACATAAAGAAACCCTGTCTCAAAAAAGCAACAAAAAAGAAGAAAGGGAGGGAGGGACAAAGAAAGAAAGAAGTACTACATTGCAATAGCTGTGGAGATGAGTGACTCCAGATTAGATGTGGTAGCACATGCCTGAAATACCACACATGGGAGCAGAGACATCCGAGAAAGAAGCATTACAAGCCTGTATAGATTTTATAGTGGCATGCACGCCCGCGCGCGCGCACACACACACACACACACACACACACACACACACACACACGAGGGTGTTGGGGAGGGAAGGAGGGAGAGAAGATGAATGTGTTCTTAGATTGCAATATTATTATTGTACTTGAAGAATTAGTTTCAAAGTCTTGTGTATAAGGTCACAAATACATTCTTGGTCTGATGAAAATAATTTAAAAAGCACTAATTGTCTGTATTTTAAAAAGAAACATCTAACAGCAGTTTCTGGAAAGTATCCATGACAGGAACTCCGATCGGTACGACATGTCTGACACCCTGTACATTCTTGCCGGGTTACAGGCGAGCAGAACGCATACACAACAGAACAACATCCCCCCTCCCCTCTGGTGAGCAGTAAAAACAGCCATGAAACAGAATGCTCAGTACAATTTTTGAATCTTTGCTCAAGGAACCCTTCATGCTCCCTCTTCGGTCAATGCAACACAAGGTGGGTTCATTTTTCAGACTGGCCCACAGGCAAGTCTACAGGCATTTTCTTGATGAATGATTAATGTGGAAGGCGTCATGACACTGTGGGCAGTGCCACCCTGGGCAGGCGGTCCTAGGGGTACATGAGAACTAATTAAGCAAAAAAGAAGAAACAAGCCAATAACAAGCATCCTCCGTGGCCTCTTCTTCAGTTCCTAGCTCGAATTTCTGCCCTGACTCCCTCCTTGGTGACAGACTGCAATCTGTGAAATGAAGCAAACCTTTTCCTTTTGGTGGTGGTTACCACAGCAGCAGATAGTGAACTAGAACAAGAGTTAACCAAAAGCTGGACCCAAAGGTGGCTCAGTGGGAAGAATGCTCCCTGCGCAATCATGATGACCTAAGTTTAGATCCCAGAATCCATGTAAAAGGCCAGGAACTGCCACTCACTCCTGTACCCCAGGACTGTAGGGAGCAGAGAGTAAGGTCACTGGAGTCCACTGGCCACCAGCTTCGTTCTAGCTACCGTAAGACACCTGTGTCAAAGGGACAGGCGTTAAGTGGTAGAGGAGGACACACTCCTCTGGCCCCTGTGAATGTGTGCACAGGTGAGCACACTTGCATACACACAAAACCCACAATATACACCTTATATGTCTCCATAAGTACATGCAAAAAAACTATTAAAAATTAAAATTAGATCCTTTAGCAGCTGTCAGGGGGCACTGTCAAGCAATATTCCCTCTAAGGAGGTGGACAAGGTCACGTGAACAACATAACAAAGAAGTTGATTTTTGGAACCTGTTCAGATCCCAGAAGCACAGAGAAGACAGACAGACTGTAACATCTGCTTATACAGGCCAGTCCATGTAACTCAACTACTTCCAGCACTTCACTGTATTATTGTATACTTTGTTGGCTTTTTCGAGACAGGGTTTCTGTGTAGCTCTGCCTGTCCTAGAATTCACTTTGTAGACCAGGGTGGCCTCGACTCACAGAGACCCACCTGCCTCTGCCGCCTGGGATCACAGGCGAATGCCACTATGGCCAAGATTACACTTAATATTTAAAAAAACAAACCCAAGGCATGATAGCTCATGCATGAATGTGCCAGAAACATCTGTAATATGTGAGGCCAACCTCTCTGCTATCACAAATGAACTGCCAGATTACTCTGCAAGCTGGTGACAGAAAGAACCATAGAAAATTATTGAAAATATTCTGAGATGAACAACAAAGGATTTTGTAAATTTTTTACATAGCACAAGGGCACAAACAAAAAGGGCATTTTAACTGACATAAGACAAAAAAAATGAACTTAATCAGTTTGAGTCATTTAGGTAGATGTTCCAAATATCAACTATATTTAGCTTTCACAAAACCCTCAGCTTCCTGCCCAAAACTTGTAAGTGTCCAAAGCATTCAGGAAACAGTTTACCGAAAAATTAAAAATGTCTCAGCTTTTAGCCCAATGTTCATTACTTCCATCAAAAATACTCTCGACTCTCTTGGGGATAAACACTTCATTACTTAAGACTTCAACACGTAGTTCCTTGCCACGCTCTCCTCAGGTGCGATCTAAGCTTTAAACCCACCAAGTCCAAAGCCAAGCCCACCCCACCTACCACCTATTGACAAAGCCACACCCACCCCACCTTCCAACCCTGTCATCAAGTCAGAACCACCTCCTCAGGGACTCACTTTGAGAATGGAAGGGACCCAGAGTGACAAAAGCCTGCCTGTCAGTGACACAAAGGTTTCCAGCCAATTGCTAAACTGACCCCAAATTCTTACTCATCTGCAAAATGCAAAAAGTACCAATACTCAAACAATACGAGTGCGATTAATCAGCAAACGACTTTCAGATTAAAGTAGGAAACATATTTAGACATTACTGTAGTCGCTCAAATCCTTTTAATATAAGGATATTGATATAGGGAATTCTATTAAATCTAATTAGTCGCTAATAATCACACCGTAACATCCAAGCTATTATCTGTGTACACAGGCCATATGATCCAAATTACAGCCATCAAACCAACAGTGCGAATTTTCACCTGACATCGTTACGTGTGAGCGGACGACCGGGTGGGTAATCCGACAGCCAGTCACTAATGACCACATAATGAAATCATCCTTATGACAGGCCGATGGAACCGTGGCTTACCAGAGGTATAGGAAAGTGGGTTGCATACTGCAGATGACGGAGGAGGTCATAATTTGACGGAAAGATCAATTCCCTTGGTTTTTCTCTCTTCAGCAGTTTCTCGCCATTAACTGACATTCTTCGGCTCAGGGAAGGGTTGGCATTCTCACAGGACTCTCCAGGCATGGGAGAAAAAATCTATGTCATGTAAAACAAATATTAGACATCATTAATGAAGAGAGCAAAGAAAAGCAATTGTGCCATGTACCAGAACTTCAAACACAAGATGCTCACAAAATAATGATCAGAAAGATAAGTAGAAATGTTATTAATTTCCACAAAATTAAATCAGAAAATGAAAATCACACATGAGAAGGGAGGGTGGGGGAGAGTGGTCAAACCAGTAAGAGGACTGGCCATGCAAGCAAACTTAAAAGTGTGATCCTCAAAGGGTTACATTTCCTCCAAAAACACACGCTTAATAATACTTAATAAGATTAATCCATAGATAAATATTCCAAAATGTACAATCAAACAATGCTTTTATAAACAGCAAGATTCGTGAAAAACACATCACACTGAGAGACGGTAGAAAAATGAATGAACCATAAAGCTAGTCTTTAGAAACTCCATATGTAGATTATCATAATAAAACTACATCCCCACATTCCCCAGAGAGGATGATCCCAAGATAAAAAAGTGTCAGAGCCAGTCAGCTTAGTAGCCTTTTCAAAGGGGGCAATGCAACCCGCAGTGAGGCTGGCCTGAGACAGAACAACCACAGGCCAGTACAGTGACTTAGTGAGGATGGCATCTCCATCACAAGGTGAGTCATTCCAGCACACCGGGCAAGAAACAAAAGGGTGGAGACAAGCTGGGCGGGGGAGAGGGGAGTGGTGGGTCAGCAGCCAATGAGAATCAAAGGTTGAACCTACTGGAAACTCAGAACCAAAGTCACTTTTAAAGTCACTCTTGTCTACTTCGTCAAAAATGTGAGCGGTTCCTGGGCCGAGGCCCATGTGCGCCATGATACTGTGTTCCTGGTAAGTGCCGGAGAAAGAAAGCCATGTTGTAAAAGCAGCAGTCTAAAAGCCGGAAGTTGAAAGATGACAGTAAGTTTTTTCAGCGTCCTGTCTGTCCCTCTCACTGTCTACTCCTCTAAACGAAGTTAAAGGAAACTTGAAGGCAGGCATTGTGTGTTAGGGTCACAATCTGTCCCCCGTGAAAAGAAGACCTTAACTCCCACGATGTTTTAAAGAAAGAACGTAAGAGCTTCATCACTTAAAAAAAAAAAAAAAAGCCACAATTTCTTTCACTGAGCTATTTCCAATAATAATAATAATAAAATAAGGTTCTTAAAGATCTAAGAATAAAATGAGATATTTTAGAAGACAAATATATCTATAACATTAAACAGTATTAGAGTACCGACAAATTCATATTTAATAACAGAAATAAAGCTGTATTTTGAGTACTCCCAGAGTGTCATCATTTCCCACTGCTGCTCACTGTCACCTAAATCATTTTATCTTGAAATTTTAAATATCTGGGACAATACTTGGAACGTCAGAGTCTGGCAGAAAGCCGTACAGTCAAACCCACAGCAGAAATCGCTGCAAAGAACAATTCTAACCTGTTTTAGAAAGAGATTAAATTTTGCAAAGAAAATCTGTGTTATTAAGAACGAGGGACTCCCCCTCTGTATGGCGAAGAGTGGCGTATGGAGACCCTCCTTATATGAAAGCCCAAGGGGTGAGAGAGTAAAACAAGTTCACCTGTGAGGCACAAAACTAAAAGGAAATTTCAGGCTACACACATCTAAAGCTAAAAGCATATCACTTTAAATGCATGAAAAAAAATTATGGTCAGTCTCATCTTTTCAATAACTATACAACATAGAAAATTCTAGAAGATAGATAATCAAATTTGTCTTTTGTGATAGGAGGGGAAATAAACTTTGTAGAGAGAAAGTAATTAAATTCCAGTTGCCTTCCCATCACCAAACTGCCTATCTGAAACTGACTCCCCCAGCGAAGTTTACTTTGGGATGCGGTACGGACATCAAGCCCAGGGGTATACCTCCATCTTCATATCATGGTCCTTGGAATAGTGTTCGTCTGCACTCTCTCCTGCAGAGGCAGTGACGGACAGATCTCCTCGCGAGATGAGGGTGCACATGTATGCATCATGGGAGAAGACGTCGTGCCGGATAAACTCACAGAAGAGCAGCACCAAGTTCACAAATTCCACCTTCTCACACTCGCTGTTGGGGTCCGCTGGGGGAGAAACAAATTCAGTCAGAAAGTCCTTGACCACGCGAAAAATAAAAATAAAGAGAAGAAAAAAAAAATCCTTCAAGGTTTCAGAACATTTTCATTACCTCTCATACTTTTCCATTTGCTGTTTCTATTTTAAAGTACAGAAGATGAAGGGCTAATAAAGATAGGAAGGGTGGCAGAGGAGCATACTGGCTGGTTTTAGATCAGCTTAACACAAACTAGAGTCATCAGTGAGGAAGGAGCCTTACTTGAGGAAATGGTTCCCTAACATCCAGGTATAAGAAACTGAAAACAACCCAAAGAAAACTGGGTAAAGAAAATGTGGTACATTTACACAACGGAGTAGTACTCCGCTGTTAAAAATAAAATAAAATCATGAAATGAGCAGGTAAATGGATGTAACTTGAAAAAAAATCATTGTAGGTGAGGTAACTCAGACAGTCCCAGAAAGACCAACATGGTGTGTATTCAATTCTACAGGGATACTATCTGTTAAGGGAAAGATAATCATGCTACTACTATCCACTGACCCAGAGAGGCTAAGTAATAAGTAGGGCTCTAAGGTATACACAAGGAAGGGTCTTCTTCCCTGGAAAATGGAAACAGAAGATATTTTGTGGGTGGATGGGGTGTGGATAGGGATGGGATCAGGAAGGATCCGGTGGGGGAAAGAGAGAGCGAGTACTGGGAAAGACGACTAGATTGGGGGGTTGGGACATTTGGGGGCCATGTAGAAACCGAGCACAGTGGAAAGTCCCTGGAATCTATGAGAGTGGCCCTAATTAAGTCGCCCAGTAATGGGGAGTATGGGGCCCAAACTGGCATCTTCTATAAGCAGGTAAGACTCCCAGCACTGGGACTGGGACATCAACCCAGCCACGAAACCTCTGACCTACAATCTGCCCTGCCTGCAAGATGAGCTGGGGTAATAGTGGTACAATGACTGGTCCAGTTTGAGGCCCATTTCACAAGAGGGAGCGCATGCCTGGCACTGTCTGGACAGCCAAGAACAAGAGGTTGGACAGCCCAGAGATCCAGGATAGGAACAAGCATGATTGACCAAAAAAAAAAAACCAAAACAAAACAACAACAAAAACAAACAAACAAACAAAAAAAAACCAAGGACATCACTCTTAATGATAACTTGTTCCTCATATACTCATAGATCAAACCCTAGCCCATTTGTCATCAGAGAGGCTTCATCCAGCAACTGATGGGAGCAGACGCAGAGACTCACAGCCAAACACTATGCAGAGCCAGGGTAACCCACAAAAGAGGGAGAGGAAGGACCGTAGGAGCCAGAGGGGTTGGGGACACCATGAGACCACAGCCTACAAAATCAACTAAGCAGGGATTACAGGGGCTCACGGGGACTGCAGCAGTAATGCCAGACCTTGCAGAACTCTGAGCTAGGTCCTCTGCATCTGTTTTATGACTGTATAGCTTTGCGTTCTATGGGACTCCTTAACAGTGGGAGTAATGGGTATCTCCGACTCTTTTGCCTGTGCTTGGGACCCCTGTCCTCCTATTGGGTTTCCTCTTCTATCCTTGATATGAGGACTTGTGCCTTGTCTTGTTGTAATTTGTTATGCCTTGTTCACTTGCTATCCCCGGGAAGACGGCTATTCTTTAAGGGAATGGAGGAGAAGCGGATCTTGGGTAGAAGGGAGGCATGGCAGGGGAGTGGGGAGACTGGGAAGGGTGGACGGTATGGAAACTGAGTGTAACCACAATCATTATACACACACATAAAAGTGTCAAAGAAAAAAATAGTAAGTTCTACGTTTTGAGTTTCATTCAAACATTGGCTGAGACACCAACATTTACAAAGCACTGATTGACAGGTTAGTTTCGTTTTAGGTGTGCGTGCATGTGCCATGAGTTTATTTTATACTTGTCTCCTCAGAGGTGAGGAGAGAGTGTAGAATGCCCTGGAGCTGGAGGTGCAGATGGATGCCAGCTTCCCTTAAAGAATGCCGGGAACTGAGCCTGCGTCCTCTGAAGAACAGTAAGTGCCTTCTCTCTAGGCCTGATAGGCAGCTTTTTACTGTGCAGTATTAACTGGAAAATATGGACCCCCATTTCCTAAACACAATTCCAAGTATAACGATAGTGGTTCCTGAAAAATAAATGACCATGTACTTCATAATGCAAGCCAAAGCCTGGCTGGATTGGTTTCCTTTTATTGCCAACACGATTTGTGGTTATCTCTAAATACATTAAGAGGGCTGCATCTTCGAGGTATATATGTGCACTATTTCAAGTAAGACTTAATGATAGTTTAAATGCTAAGGAGGCAGGCATGGGGGGCATCCTATTATGGCTGGTCTTGACTGTAAACTAGATGAGATTTAGCATCATCATGGAAACAATGCTCTGTATGTGTCTGTGAGGGAGTTTCCAGATTGTGATAAGTGGGAAGCCCCTGAATATGGGTAGCACCTTTGCATTTGGCTAAGACACTGGACTGAACCAAATAAAAACGAGCTGACCACCAAGCTTTGCCCTCTGTCTTCTGAGTGTGGGTGCAGGATGCCCAGCCACCTCACACACCTGGAGCCAGGACTCCCCACCACGACGAACTGTGTCCTTGAGGGAAAGTGAACCTTTTATCAGGCATCTCCTCACAGCAATGAGAAGAGTGGCCGATGCCTACTCGCCGTGAAGGAGAGGAGATAAAAGGACACAAGGCGCAGTGGGCTCAGAAGTTTTTCTCCCCTCAAATCCTAACCCATCTGTAGAGCTCAGATTAGGAGCTTCAGTATCGTGACGACATTCTGAAAGCTTTATGTCATACCTTTTAGATACGCTTAGACAACTGTACAGCTCAGTTTACAAAGTTAGATTCCCGGCACCATCACTGTCTTAAACACCTACCCAAAAAATGAACTCATGCAAAAGCTGATGTGCTTCGCTCCCTGAACATCGTTCCTAAGTGTCTCCTCTCACCTCAACGGCAGGCAGCCTCTTCTTAGGGAAACCGAATGGGTCTCTTAGACAGAAAATGTGGCCCAGAAGAGGCAAAGGACAGACATTCTCCCCAAAGGCAACTGAAATGGGTGGAGGCAGTAAAATGGGAACAACTGTGCACCTCCCACACGGCCCAAGATAATTTAGAGCTGTCTGGTCCTATGCCTGGCTTTCTGCTATGGGAGTATCTTCTACCCCTCATCTTCCGGCTTCCTACTCTCAGACCACCTGGATGGCTTCAATACTTGCTTGCCCCAAGGCCAGCGGTTCTCAACCTGTGGTCTGAGACCCCTTTTGGGGCTGCATATCCCATATCCTGCATATCAGACAGTTACATTACTATTTTTAACAGTAGCAAAATTACAGTTACAAAGAAGCAACAAAGTAACTTTATGGTGTGAGGCACCACTGAGGAACTGTACAGTCAAGGACAACAGCAAAGAGAGCCATTGCCCAAGGCTCTAAGGCCTCCAGAAAACTCTAGGAAAGCCTTGCCTTGTCCCAAAGATCAACTAAGACAAGGTCCCTCTGCAAGACAGCCATTAAAAAAAAAACATGTATTTAGTTTGCTATTTTACCTTTTTTCCACAAATCCCTCCCTTCCCTCCTAAACCTATTGCTTCTCACTCTGCCACTTTTGTGTTCTTCTCTGTCTCCCATGGGAATACCCCAGAAAAATGGTGGGCAAGCTAACACTGCTCACACAATCACTTTTCAAAAACTTTCCACCCTTAGTGCCCCTAATAGGTGGTTGTTGATTCGACAAACTCACAGCTTCCCAACAACAAAGCTGGAGGACATTAGCTTAAGGTGATGGAAACATCTCAAGGGGAATGGTGACGCCATGGCCACACCCACACATCAGCCAGCTCCCTGTAGGCTACAAGGCTATGAAGTCCTGTTGCTTTACTTCCCTCCCTTCTTAAATGGAAGAGAAAACCAGAGATTAGAAAGCAGCTCCAACAACAAAACAGTATCATCGCAGTGCACAGCTAAGTAGCACAGGACCCAAATCCCTCTGTTTGGGTAAGAGAA